GGAGATGTGGAAGTTTAGATGCAACTTATTTTCATATTTGGTGGACGTGTAGGGAAATAAAAGCATTTTGGATCAAGGTTTGGTGGAATATTCAAAATATTTTTAAGAAAAAGATAAAGTTCACACCGCAGTTATTTTTATTAGGTATTATGGGAGATTTGGATGCTAAAGAAATGAATCTGATGTTAAATCTTATAACGGCTGCAAGGCTATTGGTAGCTCAAAACTGGAAGACAGATCGTTTGCCTACTGTAGAAGAATTATATAATACTATTAAAGGTATCATCACGGGATGTAAAGCAGTTCCAAGTAAAACTGTCTTTTACAATTGACTGATGGTGGTTTTTGTTAATGCTGATGGTGTTGTAGTGGTGCTCCAGATGCTTTGGGATTGCACCCAAGGAGCCTATTACAATTTGTACTATCTTTGCTTTCTTTTCCACAACCTTTCTTCAATTTGCAAGTCTTTGTATTTTGTGGGGCTTTTTTTCCAGTTCTTTCTCTTCTTTCTATTGTCTCCAGGTGAACAAGTCCACCATCCAAACCTTTTTTGTCTTTCTTATCAGCAATACGTAAGTATAGAGTATGGCAGATACCTGTCTGTTTGAATTCTAAAGTCCCAGAGTATTTTAGCTTATTTCCTATTACTTGTTTATTTTGTAGTCCTACCAGTTCTTGCTTGCAGACAAATGGTATTTCTTCCAGATATTCCAATAGCACCGCTGTTACTATTTATTATCTACTGTATTTTCATTATATTTTATAGAAGAATGCAAAAAGATAAAGAGAATGTGACAATACAAAACTAAAATGGTGAAAGAAATAATGAAATAGTAAAATCTATTTTTTTCCTACAATCCCCCAAACAGAATAAAAAAGGAGGGAAAACAGAAAAACATTTAAAAATACTAAACACTAAATACTAAACAACTAAATATATATAAAACATATAAAGAACACTAGTTTATTGAAAATACCTTACAGTATAATATTATCGAACAGAAAAGGAAAAAATGTATTAGCATTCTTTGCTCTGTTGCACACAGTAGCATCACTCTGATTAAAAGCTTGACCTATAACTGATGATCCTTCATCAGCTTGGTGTGAACAATAAGTCCAAGGTTTAATGTTGGAGAAGTCTTTCTTTTCATTTTGTATAAGGGGATTGGGCAAAATATTGATAGCCATTTTGAGCACTGAGTAAATAATACATTACCGATATGAAAATAAGTGGGAACCAGGATGCACAACTAGAACAACTGCACAAGATGATAGTAAAAGTGTGAGTGAAGTAGAAAGAGGTTTTGGTAGGAAAATGTTTAAGCAATTTTAGCGGGAAGAAGTCTTGCATATTTCCAGATGTTGTTGGCACAAATAACATAACATTGATTTCTTTTTTCTTTTTGTGTAACATTAACTTTTAGAGAAATTCACAATAGTGACTTTACATAAAATAAAGTGAATTCACACAAGGCAAGGGAATCCTTTAGTGCCTATAAAACTTTATTATGATCAGTGACAAACTGATTCACATAATTTCATAAAAAGGAATATGAAAAGGTTACCTTTATTTTCCAGTATGAAGGATGAAATTATTTGATCCCATTCTTCGTTTTTTGTATCCAACAATACCAAGACAAGATCAAACCTGCTAAGAAGAGGGCTTCCAAGGGCTATGTTGACAGAGATGGATTCATTAGTGTCATATTGGCCCTTTGGATTGGTTGCTGCCAAAATTGTGGTCCTTGTATTCAGTTTGCACACTAAGCTGAAGGAAAAAGAGGGTGGCACTAAGTATTAAATAGAACTGAACTCTTTTAGAAATGATTTTTAAAAATTACTAGTAGAACATCTTTCATTCTAAATTTTCATTATGGGATCCCAAAGCTTTCCATTTATTTCATGTGGGCTGAAGAGTTCAGATGATAGTACGAGTCACTGGAAAAAGCTTATGGATTATAACAAAGTACAATCTGCATGGGTATGGCAAGCCAAACATATAGGTGATGGATGACAACAGTCCTATTTTGACTAGAAACAACAATACTGCACATTTCAAAATAGTGTCGGGTTGCAAACGCTTTCTGATCTAATTAATAAAACAGTTTCTACAGCGAGAAGAAGAATGAACTATCTGCAAAACTAATACTGAATTTGAAAACTCAAAATTTTGCCAGGTCCCAATAACAATTAATTGAATTCTTCTCTTGCTTTGCTTCAATCTACACAGATATTCTCTGAAGCCTCACCATGTAATCTTCCCCAGGAGGGCCTCTTTGTTTAATCAGAACCAGATTATACTAATCCTTGAAAACCTATGACTCACATCCAAACTTTCATTTCCACTCTGATATATGCCACTTATACATATAGCTACTGTATGCTTTTTTGATGCACTGTAAATACATATACTTCTTAAATAATTATGCACATTCTCAAAGAATCAATATACAAACAGTCTAACTTGTAGTAAGAGTTTCTATGACAGCTCTTGAATACAGTACATTTTTTGCCTTCCATAATTTGTTTGACCTTGACCCCAGATCTGTTTTCAAAGAACCAGAAAGATATTTTTCTCCTAGTAGTCATAGCATAACCCTTGTTGCAGGCAGCCAGGCAGCTGTTCTAAATCTGACTTAGGTTTGATCTATTTCTAGTTGGTGCCATCTCAGACCTTACCTCACATATTGAATGGGAACAAATACAGCACCAATCATCTTAGCTTTCATATCTGTAACAGTACGCAACATGGGAAAAGCATTTTGACTTGAAGCCAGTATCAACAGAGATTCAAAAAGGAAATGAGATTTGACCCCTTTGCATAATGCCATAAGGATTGCTAAATATGGAAGGGAAAATTTGGAACTCCAGAACACATACTTGGAATGGAAAAAGGTTCTAAAATTCCATCAGCAGCACCAAACAAGTTTCATTGCGCTCCTGACTAAAAATGGATTTCCACTTTTACTGAAAATAGTATGCAGTAATGGTTATTTCAAGACTGTGTTTATGATCAGACTTACATTAGTACAAGGGTGATGTAAACATAAAACCAAAGTACATTTTTTTCTCATGCATCCAGCTTTTATACACATTCAGAAAGATTTGCTGCAAATTTTAACAATTCATTGTGATATCTCAAACAGGAGATGGGAAAAAAATGAGAGCTAATAGCTAATCAAAACCTGCTGCTTCTTCACCTGGTAATTTTGAATAATGTTGGAAGGATGTTAAAATGCAGTAATACACTCAAAATATCAGGGGCTGTGAAAGAGCTTTGGAGCTGCAGAGTACCCACTGTAATCTTTGTGTTATTGTTGAATGGGCTGGGTTGCAGCAATCTATAACAACCTATACAACCCCATCTATATGGATAGTGATGTATAATATCCTATAGAGCACACTGTTTTTTAAATTGAAGTTATATTGTGTTGTCTCTGATCTCAGTAATAAAATTGAATATTGAAATATGTTTTATTACATCTATAATCCACTATTCCTCCAAGACATGTTTCTTCTTCCGCCCTGTCCCTATTTTATCCTCTGTGAGGCTGGTGAGATGGAAAGCTTCATAATTAAATGGGGAGTGGAGTCTGGATTTTTCAGGCTTAATTTGTACCCTCAAACCACTTCATCACATAGGCAATCCTACAACATTAGCACAAGGATCAATTTAAAAAGTACAGCAGCAATCTTAACATTTTAAACATACTTACCCAGCCTTGGCAACACTGATGGTTTGCTGCTCCATGGCCTCATGGATGCTTGTTCTGTCATGTTCCTTGATGCTGTTAAATTCATCTATGCAGCAAAGGCCTCCATCAGCCAGGACCAGTGCACCAGCCTCCAAATTCCATTCTCCAGAGTCTTTCACAGCAGTCACAGTCAAACCTTGAGAACAAAATCTTCCCTGTAAAAGCTTGATAGTAGTACAAGCAGTTGTTTTGAAAATGCACTTGAAAGCAGAGTATTCTTGCTCTGAGGATCATCTCAGTGTGACTTTCCAAAGCCCATACTTAAACCATATGAACATAAAAGCTTTACTACCATGTTTTCCCCAAAAATAAGACCCACCCAGAAAATAAGCCCTAGCCTGATTTTTTTTAGCATGCTCCTAATATAAGCCCTACCCAAAAAATAAGCCTGGGGGCAGGCATGGCCAGCACAGGAGGTGGTGAGAGTACGGGGGTCAATGGTGTCTGTCAGCAGCCGCAGCCCACACAGCATAGGTAAGTCCAAGCACGGAGGCAGAGGCAGGGGGAGGCAGGAGATCCAGACGCGCCGTGTGGCTGTCTGGCTTGCGGGAGCCTCGCGCAGCAGCACCGGCAGCAGGCAGAGGCTTGGGGGGGAGGCAAGTGATCCCGATGCGCCACCCACTCCGTCCCACCGTCTTTCGGCTGCATTCGGGTGATCACCAATACCGTGTTTTCCCCAAAATAAGCCCTAATGCATCTTTTGGTGCCCCCCCCCAAAAGACCGGATCTTGTTTTTGGGGAAATATGGTAATTCTAGGTGAACAGAAATTTGACACTGTTGACATCTGCATTGTTAACCCAAGAGTTTTCTCACTGGTCCTCATGAAAATTCTGCATTTTAAAGCAGATAACAACTAATGAGACTATAATAAAGCTAACCAGATAGGGATTCTTTAAAAATATAGGGAATTTGCTTGAAATATACACAAGAGACAAATTAAAGCAAAATTACAATATTTATTTTGTACATTTACCATTTCAAACATGAAGCCACTCTACTGGGTATTAGAAGATCTTACTCCTTTTTTAATATATCATTGATAGTTCATCTCACGCAAATTATCACTACACTGATAGTTCATTGCATGAAAAATAAGACTCTGTCATTTCTTAAATGGGATTAACATTTGATTTTAACTAGAACAGGAAAAATATTTTCATATTCACACTCCTCTGGCAATTAGTTTTTCAATCTGCTGATTTAAAAGTAGTTTAAGTGTTGTTGCATTTGTTTGGTTGCAATAGTAAAATTGTCCCAAAGATGCTTTTTCATGAGGCAACTGGACTTTCTTGTTTTTCTTTGAAGATGTTTCGCTTCTCATCCAAGCTTCTTGGGTGAGAAGCGAAACGTCTTCAAAGAAAAACAAGAAAGTCCAGTTGCCTCATGAAAAAGCATCTTTGGGACAACTATGACCTGGATGACTGAGAATTTCCATAGACATTCGGTGGTAAAATTGTATTATATTTCCAATACTGTATTCAAGAAGTACTATTTCCCCACTTCAGCATTCTATCCAAATCTGCAGACTTCATCTTCTAGAATTTGACAGCCAGCATGGCTATTTGCTGAGAATTTTGGGAGTTGAAGTTCATATAGCTGGTGTGTACCCAAACTTGAAAAGGCTAAAAAATTGAAAATATTAATCTATAACTTTACTATGCTTAAATATATACTTATAGGTTTGCTTTGCAGCAAAAGGAAACTCAAACTCAGCCATACTAGCCACAGCATAAAGATTTTCTCTAGAAATGTACGAACGAGAGTGGTTTTTGATCTACACAGTACTGGTGCAGTTCAATGGCTAGAACCAATCAATGACAAAACACTAGAATATTGAAATAGTTACAATTTCTGGATGTTTCTGAAAGGCAGCATCACAATGAAGTTTACTGCAACAGTTTGAAATGTGACCAAGCCATCAATCACATGCATAAGATTATGAAAGAAAGGCTACAACAAGGAAAACATTCTAAGCTGCTAAAATGTTTTCATTAAAATAGAATAGAATAGAATAGAATGAGTTGGAAGGGACCTTGGAGGTCTTCTAGTCTAGCCCCCTGCTCAGGCAGGAAATCTTATACCATTTCAGACAAATGGTTATCCAATCTCTTCTTAAAAACTTCCAGTGTTGTAGCACTCACAACTTCTGGAAGCAGGCTCTTCCACTGGTTAGTCTAACCGCCAGGACATTTCTTCTCAGTTCTAGGTTGTTTCTCTCTTTGATTAGTTTCCATCCATTGCTTCTTGTCTTGCCCTTTGGTGCTTTGGAGACTAGCTTGACTCCCTCTTCTTTGTGGAAATCCCCAAGATATTGGAACACTGCTATCCTGTCACCTCATCCTTCTCTTCATTAAACTAGACATACCCAATTCCAGCAACCGTTCTTTATATGTTTTAGCCTCCAGTCCCCTGATCATCTTTGTTGCTCTTCTCTGCACTTGAGTCTCAACATCTTTTTTACATCGTGGTGACCAAAACTGGATGCAGTATTCCAAGTATGGCCTTACCAAGGCGTTGTAAAGTAGTATTAACGCTTCATGTGATCTTGATTCTATCCCTCTGTTAATGCAGCCTAGCACTGTGTTGGCTTTTTTTGGCAGCTGCAGCACATTGCTGGCTCATATTTAAGTGATTGTCCACTAGGACTCCAAGATCTCTCTCAAGTTACTACTATTGAGTGAGGCAACACCTATACTGTACCTGTGCATTTGGCTTTTCTTGCCTATGTAGAACTTTACTTTTTTCACCACTGAATTTCATTTTGTTAAAGAGCACCCAATGTTCAAGTCTGTCAAGATCCTTCTGTATCTTAAGCCTATCTTCTGGAGTGTTGGCTATTCCTACTAGCTTGGTGTCATCTGCAAATTTGATGAGTTCCCCATCTATCTCCTCATCCAAATCTTTGATGAAGAAGTTGAAGTCCGGGTGGGGGGTGGGGGGGAGTTTTTTAATTGTGATGTACTTGTGATTGCTTTTTTTTTATGTTGAAAATAATAAAAAAAATTTTTTGAAAAAAAAAAAGAAGTTGAAGAGTACTGGGCCTCAAAGAATGCAATAAGATTTGTCTGGCATGATATGTTTTTAACAAACAAATGTTGGCTTTTGGTAATGACTTTGTTTGCCTCTAGGTGTTCGCTGATTCGTTGCTTATCTTTTCCAGAATCTTCCCAGGTATTGAGGTCAGGTTGATAGGTCTGTAGTTTCCTGGATCCACTTTTTTTCATTTTTTTGAAGATGGGAACTACATTAGCTCTTTTCCAGTCCTCTGGTAGTTTCCTAGTGCTCCAGGATCTTTGAAAGATATAGTTCAGTGGTTCTGAGATCACATCTGCCGGTTCCTTCAGAACCTTGGAGTGGAATCCATCTGGTCCTGGTGATTTGACCTCATCTAGGGTTTCTTGGTTATGTCTCATACGTGGAGGTCCATTGATCCAGAAGCAGTATTAAACTCAAGCCTTAAAAAAATGCAATGCACCTAACAGAGGCTGAAATCTAATTCCAAACATGTTTCCAATTACATCTTGCCTAAATTTCAGTGTGCTGTTTTTTATCCACTGCTAGACCTGCCCATGAACAATCAGTGGGCAGATCTAGCAGTGGATAAAAAAAAAAAAAAAAGCACAGGTTTCAGAACTTTGATTCCCTGTCTAGTAGCTTAATAGTTAAGCAGAAAAATGAAAAAAGCTTCTTGAACAAAGGCCAGAGGTTTGGGTTTAAGCCAGTGTTTCTCAAATTTAGCAACTTTAAAACACGTGGACTTCAACTCCCAGAATTCCTCAACTGATACTGGCTTAAGCTAACGAAGCCGCCTAGTTGCTAATGTGAATAAGCCACTAGGCAACATCACTCACCATACATATGTGTGTTTTTTTGTATATATTACACAGGGGTTTGTTTTTTTTTTTGTCATAGAACGCCCAGAACGGAGTTCCGGCACCTTTTTGGGATGGAACCTTGTAGGGCAGGCAAGGCAGGTTGTATGACGTGTGTGAGTTCCGGCATCTTTTTTTTATTTTATAGAAAAAAAGCACTGATATTACATATATTTTTATTGCAATCCAACGCCATCACGTCCCCTGCACTAGGGTGGAAAAAGCTGCTTTACTTTCAACTAAATCTTTCAATCAAAAGCGCGTTACTTTTTACGCAAAATAAAACCCCGAAAGGGGGGAAAAGGAGGAAAGAGTTCTGGTCTGAGGGGGGGGGAAGGCGTCCCGGCGGCGCCAAGCGCACGCCCCTTTCCTCCAAGCGAAGTCCCGCGGGCGCTTCCGCCGCGAAAACCGGCGCCGAGCCCGGCAGGTGGAGCGCCAGCGAAGCTCCGGCACTCCGCTCCAGCCACGGAGCCCTTCTTGCTCTCAGGGAAACCTCGGCAGCGGGAGGAGGGTCACGGCTCCGCCCGTAGCCAATCCGCGCCCGCGCTGCCAGTTAACCGAGGAGAATGGGCTGTAGTTTCGTGGAGTAGCAAAAGCTGCAAACAGTNCCCCCCCCCCCCCCCCCCCCCCCCGCCCGCCCGCCCAACATGGCAAAGGTTCAGGTGAACAACGTCGTGGTGCTGGATAACCCCTCGCCTTTCTACAACCCCTTCCAGTTCGAGATCACCTTCGAGTGCATAGAGGACCTCTCCGAAGGTGAGTCCCGCGGAGCCTTCTTTCGCCTTCTCCCCGGCCGCCGCCAGCCTCTTCGGGCTTCTTCCAGGCTTAAACTTTGCAAAGGCCTCGGCGGCGAGAGCGTCTCTCTCTGCCGGGGCTCCGCGGGCTGCCTGGAGGAGGCGAGCCGGCAGCGCTGCCTGGGCTTCCCCCGCCGCGCGGCTTGGGGCGAGGCGCGAGCGCCCGCGAGAAGGGGAAGCCTCAAGTTGCTGGGAAGTTGCTCGGGCGCTGGGAGCAGCCATGTTGCCGCCGCCGCCGTGGTGAGCGGGTCGTCGGGCGCATACGCGAGAGGAGGGCTTAAGCGAGCTCCGCTCGCATGCTCGGAGCTGGACGCCGAGCCGGGAAGGGGCAAGGCAGGGCACGGCTCTGCCAGCAGTGGCCTAGCTTTAGGTGGCCTTGGATGCCCCTTAGCAGTCTGGAGCACGGTTTGCTTTTCTCGAGGGACTCGCAATTGCAAAGCGTGCAAGTATCTGTAGAAGGAACCGTGGCGCTACTTTGCTTCCGTAACTCCTCGCACGCGTCTCGTTTGGACGAGCGCTTGGTTATCGGACCTTGCAGGTCCGGGAGTAGTGAGCAATTCCAGTTTTCGCTTCCCTGTTGAGCGAAACGAAATCACCCTGTCAACTCAAGCGTTACAAACTGGGACTTAATAGGTGGCCAAAGAGCCCGTTGTCTTTTCTCATCCCCAGTGGGCAGAGGAGTTGGCGTTGGAGAAGGGTGCTGTAATTTGAAATTGAAAATGAAACTTCAATTAGCCACCCCATCCAACTATTTTCAGTAAGTGCTACTGATTTCAGCATTTGGTTGTTCGGGGCTTGATTTGATTGAAGCTAAGTTAGATTACGGTTTCTTATTTTTGTTTTCAAGTTTAAGAGTTCAAAGAGATGGCAGTTTGGAAGGGGTTTTGTTACTGTTGCGGGCGAGGTTTGTTTTTAAATAAAACCAAAATTGTGAATGTTTTATTTAAAAGTCTTTTTCTCTAACGCAGATTTGGAATGGAAAATCATTTATGTGGGCTCAGCAGAAAGTGAGGAATACGATCAAGTTTTAGATTCAGTTTTAGTAGGCCCCGTTCCTGCAGGAAGACACATGTTTGTATTTCAGGTAAGCCAGTTCTTAAATACTGAACAATAGTTGCTCCTCTAAATTGTTTGGAGGTAAATAGGAGGCAGGAATATTACTTAACGTCACTGAGTTAACACATATATCAGGATAAAAGTATAATAATAATAATAGAAATAATAACTTTTTCATGACCAAATGTCACCAATTCATTGGTTAAATGTAACTGAAATTCGGAGTTGTCATTTATTGAAAGCAGTTTCCAGACTTAAAGAGTTTAAGCGAAGGCTAGATAACCATCTTTACCTGATGTCTAATTTAAATCATGTATGTTCCTGTGTTGGACATAACCACTTTCTTGTTCACATGAACAATAAGTGATCCAGAGCAAAAATAATTGCTAAGGAACAGAAGAGTCCATAAGTGGAGTAGAATGGATGTTTTCATAAATCACACTTAAAGAACAAATTCAAACCTGATATTTGGATGCAGTGGCCTAACCTGTACTGAGGCATAATAATATTAAATTACTTGAAGTAACATTCTCAATTACGTTCAAACCTAGAGGAAAGTATTTATTTGAAGACAAGAAGCAATGGATGGAAATTAATTGAGAGAATCAACCTAGAACTAAGGAGAAATTTTCTGACAGAACAATTAAAATCAGTGGAACGACTTGTCCCCAGAAGTTGTGGGTGTTTCATCACTGGAGGTTTTTAAGAGGAGATCGGACAACCATTTGTCTGAAATGGTATAGGATTTCCTGCTTGAGTAGGGGGTTGGACTAGAAGGCTTTCAAGTCCCTTTCCAACTCTTACTCTGTTAAATATTTCTGTTAAGATAACCCTTTTGTCTGATCTCCAGAGGTAGGAGGATGGTAAATCTCCCAAAATGGGTTATTCCATTAAAAAAAAAAGGTTTTACAACTAGGGTGGGTAAAGCTAAGCCTCCCACTTGCTTTACTTTGCTCTGATCCTAAATGAGCCACTTCATTTATTGAACATGAGACGCAGGACAAGAGATAGTTGCAAAAGTAGCCAAGTTATCAATGGATCTAAAATGAATTGGGGCTGCCTAGATTTTCTACAATTATATATACAGTATATATACAATACCCCCCCAATACACAGAGATATGAAATTTTGTGGGAGTCAGTCTAGTTTGTAGAAGTTGCCTTTTGAGATAACGGATTAAGGTAGATAACTTCTTAATTAAATGGTCTGGTTGTTGACATATAAGTCTGCTTACTTGGTGGTGGTATTCAAAAAAATCCAAGGTAAAAGAAGGCTAGTAATACACTTAAAGTCTTTTAAAAATTAACCTAATATCATCTGACCCCAGGAAATGAAATAATGATAGTATTTGAAATCTAAATTATGTAACTTGATAATTAACCCTGTTTCCTTTTATTTATTTTTTTATTATAGGCAGATGCTCCTAATCCAGGACTTATTCCTGATGCAGATGCTGTAGGTGTAACAGTTGTCTTAATTACGTGCACTTACAGAGGTCAAGAATTTATCAGAGTTGGGTATTATGTAAACAATGAATATACTGAAACAGAATTGAGAGAAAACCCTCCAGTAAAGCCAGACTTTTCTAAGGTAGGATATAATACTATGTAAATCCATCCAAATCCATTTTTTAAACTACACTGAAGTAAAATAGAATGTTAGTCCATGTTGCTTAAAAATAAGCAACAATTAATAGGTAAAATTAAGCAGTTTTTTGTTATCTATTAGTGATAATGCTGAATTTTGTACCTCCGGGGTTATTCTTCTAGGATGGGCTCTGAATTTTGTACCTCCGGGGTCATTCCTTCCTCTAGGATGGTCTGAGGCAGTGGTGGCGAACCTATGGCACGGGTGCCAGAGGCGGCACTCAGAGCCCTCTCTGTGGGCATGCGTGCCGTCGCCCCAGTCCTAGGCCTTCAGCTGGGTTTTATAAAACCTTTTTGCTTTAGGCCTCCACCGCCGTGTACAAAAAAAAAGGTTCAATCAATCAGTCAATTTCAACTTCTCGCAAGGAAAAAAAAAGATCTCGCAAAGCTGGAATTGATTGATTGAACTTTTTAGTCCCACCCAGTCTGCTGTTACCACTGCAGCCACACCCACCCAATGGGCCATACCCACCCGGCACCTGACGATGCATAAATGGGTTTTGGGTTGCAGTTTGGGCACTCGGTCTCTAAAAGGTTCGCCATCACTGGTCTGAGGGAATGTTAGTCGAGCATAGCCCCCCCAAAAAAAATTTGTCTTAAATCCCTCACATTATATTGTGACAAAAAAAAAAAGAACTACTTGAGAAAGTATTCCTCCAAACTAGAGACTTACAAACTGTTCTAGGCACTGACCATTCCGTAAGCTGAATTCATCATTCAGTGAGCATCAGGCAGTATCAGCACTCTGCGCATGGACCCCGAGCTAGCAGGGAAAAGGCAGGCTGGTGGTATACAGCTGTCAAAGGTGGGTGAGGCCCTTGTGTGCTGGTAGGGACTGAAATTAAGATCCATTAGCCACAAATCCATCCTTGTTGGTACAAGCGCACACCAGAGGGAAAGGTCATTGGTGCAAAGTATTTGAAAGAGAACATAAAAGGGAACAAAGCTGCCGCACAGCTAGGAGATGAAGAGAGAGGAACAAGGGGCACCAGCCTTGTCTTACCTGCTCTTTAAAACTCTTCCATATTTGTTTTAGGGGAAACCTAAATCAACATTGGGGTTTCCTGCAAGCAGACCTATGTGGCCCACTGTATTTGTTCTGTGTGCAGAAGAAAGCTTGTGTTGTTTTTTTTTTGCTTTGTGCACTTGTAGTCTAAACCAACAAGGGTGGATTTGTGGCAAATGGATTTAGAATCTTAATTCTGGTCCCAATTCACAGCTTCCAAAGTTGAGCATATGCTGCTCAGAGAAATATCATTACTTCATCTTTAGCGTATAGGTAGCCCTCAACTTAATGACTTTAATAAGTTTAACAATGTTATGATGGTTAAAGTTAGACATCAAGCCCTAGAACATAAATTAACTCTTAAATTAGTCTAGGAATGCATGCATATATGTGTATGTTCCTTTATAAATATATCTTTAGGCTAGTGCAGGGGTGTCAAACTGCTGGCCCGTGGGCTGGACGCGTCATCAGGAAACCACACCCACCCCATTGCTGGCAATGGCGAAAAAGCTCGGATACGATGTGTGATGTCACGAGTTTGACATGTCTGGTCTAGTGACATGCTGCTTATTAATACTTTATAGCAGAAAGCAAGATAATGAAGTAGATTTTAAGCCTGGCCATATGATTTCTGGATAGGCTTAAAGGGTCTTCATTGGGGAGGGAGATTTTTTTGTTCTTTGTTCACAAAGTCTTTTACCTAGACTTTGTTGTAAATTTAGTATTTACTTTTCAGAACAAAAATATCCCAAATCTGTTTGATACCTTCTTTGTTGAAAGGAAGAGTGTATTGGATGTACTATTTGGTATTACACAATGTAATATCTATAAGTGATCCTCACTTAGTGATCACTAGTTCAGCATCTGTTTGAACTTACAGTGGCACTGAACAAGTGGTACTTAAGACCAATCTGGTCATTGCAATGTTTCCAAAGTTTCGTGATCGCCATTAAAGACCTTCTTTGCCAGCTTCCTACAGTGTTAATGGGGAAGCATGCAAGAGGTCCTGCAAATGATTATGTGACATCCTTACCTAACTACCAATTGTAATTTAACAAGTTCCATTATAAAGTTCTTTCATCATTCATTGAACTTATATAGGGAATGTGAATTCCTACTGTGAAAAAAATGTTGACCTGTTTATAGCATATAGATTCTGAATCAGAAATTTAACCTTCAGTGAAAATATAAGGGGCACAAAGAGGGAGTTAGCATTGTCTTCAGAGCAAAAAAGGAAGTTGTTTCTTTGCTACCCACATTTGCACCAGTTGATTTACTATTTTACCCAAGAGCACAATGGAGAGAAATAAGCCAGCTTTGAATTGTCTCCCTTTTGACGTTTAAACCGCTGTATTATTATTTTTCTCAACTTCTTGACCTTTCCTTTCCTGGTTTATGTTGTGCTCATCATCCAATATGAAAGTAAGTCTTTTCTTATGAATCTAAATCTTATAAAACATTCATCTCTCTGTTTTCTAGCTCCAGAGGAATATTTTGGCATCTAATCCCAGAGTTACAAGATTCCATATTAACTGGGAGGACAACACTGAAAAACTGACAGATGCCGAGAGCAGTAACCCAAACCTCCAATCACTCCTTTCTACAGATGCCCTGCCTTCTGCCTCAAAAGGGTGGCCAACATCTGAAAACTCTCTAAACGTCATGTTGGAATCTCATATGGACTGCATGTGACCTTCTGCGCCATGTTATATGTTGAGCTCTAAACACACACAGTACACAGAACACAACCATCACGGAAACCTCTTTTTGGAATTACTTATTAAACAAATGTGAAAGTCGTTTAAAGAACACACACCCTGTAGAAAGTTTATAAGGAAAAGTATTTGAGTGGATGTATAAATAAAATTATTTTTAAGTAACTCCCTGAGACTTTATTTAATCTAGTGTTCAAGCTTATTACCCATATGTATAAAGATAGGCAAACGGGGAGGTAGGCAGGGATGATAGACGTTTACATGTTTTTAGTTATAAATTATAGATGGGCTTTAGTGAAGTCTATATAAGCTTAGCTTGAATGAAATGATCTTTTTTTGTGCTTTAGAAGCTTTTGAGTGGCAGCTACTTGTAAAGTGTACAGATGTTAACTTTAAAACTTTTTTAAGATTCATACAAGACCAGTCTAATGTAACCTAATATTACTCTATCAGTGACAACAGTGTTATAAGCAGGCTGCCAAAGGGCTCTTGTCTGGGCAGAAGCCATTGCACACTTGTCAAATTATGATGCCTACTGCAGGCGAAAGAAAATGTGTAATGTGTAGTAAAACTTCAAAGTCTGACAAGCTTTACGCTCCCAAGCAATGTTGGAAATGGCACAGCTGCTACTGGAATTGTATAGTACCTCAAACCAGAAATGGAGGATTTTAATTTCTTTAGTTAGCCATAATACTCCAGACTTTTTCCCTAATAAGGTGGCAAATACTGTTATAGGAATTTATGGTTTAAGAAACACAAGCCCCAAATCTTTATCAGTATAGTACAATTATCCACATGGGCGCTGTAACTATTGGCCTCTTCTCTCATTCAGGGCAGCTAAATGATGTGCATTATAAATTGATTATGACCCCAAATGTCAAGGTAGCTTTGTTGTTGGCTCTTGGATGAAAGATGTACATATAATTTGATAGAATGTAGGGCTTGCAAAGAGTAAAGGTGTGAACATAAATCGGTGTGACTCCTCTAGATGATGCCATTCACATCTATGAGTAAGTATATTTGTGTGTGTATATATAGATATATTACTACATTGGTTGGTTGAGATTAGTGGTTAGCAATATGGGGCATACCAAATACTGTGCATGTCTGACTGTATGTGGACTGACAGGAGTATGGAGATGGCCAGATCTCGGGGGCTCACTTTCTGTCCTTTTTAGCTTTTTATTGTTATCTAATATTCAGAAAAAGGTTGCAATGCATGTTATAGGTTTTCTAGATGAATACTCTGAGAGGTGACAAGGCCAAAGGAAAGTTAAGATCCAAAATGACTACCTTTAATTTGATATGAATTGCTGTATCTGAAGCTCAGGATTCAGTATGTAACTTTGGGTCTGCCATACATCTCATGATTTTCCATGCAGCTCACTCTACTATAAAGTTTAGCAATGTGAAAAAAGAAGTGCCATATAACTTCTCATGCCACTATCAGAATTCAGTGAGCAGCTACTAAGAGTAAAATTGATATACTGTACGAAGGTGGCTGTGCAAAGTACTTTACAGGTGATGGGAAGAGAATGAATTTTGGTTTTAATGTGGAAATAAGATTAACGATTTAAGTAGGAATTTTAAAGATCTGAAAATGGTGGTATGAATGTGAATGAGTATTTTGAGTACATATATATATATAAATTTCTTCTTATCCATACGCATATCCGAATATTTTTCCTAAGACTCAAATATGGTTCTTGATCTAAGAATTTGGCAATAGAAAGCTGCCATAAAATAATTCCATTTAAAAAATAACTCCCATTGAAATTCTCCCTTAATGTCAGTTCTGGTGGCCATTATTCAAATATTGCCATTGTTAGTGGCTGCTAAATATTATTTCTGTAGAATCTATATCAGAAAAGTTAGTATCCCCTATAATACAGTATAAAGAAAACTTTTTGGGAAGAGGGAAGGAATATATCAATTGATTAATTCCTGAACTGATTGTCAAGAATTACTGATTTAGTAATCAGCTCAAGAATTGGTCAGTTGACACTGTCAACTCTGAATGAAGTCCAGGCTAACATCAGTTCTGACAGTTGCACATGCTATTATTCTACAGGCATCTGTGGTGCTTATTGAACTAGGAGCTTGCATTCCTGGATAGCCCCATAGGTTTATTCAGTTTCAATAGGTTTATCCTTTCAAATAACATACTAAGAGATCTGCTAGTGAGCTTTAGGAGACATTTAGGATTTTGCATGACCCACTCCTAACACATTAGCAATTCAGACAATTTTAGCAATGTTTCTTTTGAAACATATCCTAAATTACACTGTCCCTTCCTGAGCCTCCTTCATTTTCAAGTAGCAGGATCTTTCCCTACTTTTTGGCACCAAGGGAGAACCACTTTTAACATAAGTGGGCCTTAGCAACTATATACTTAACTTTTGATCTATCTGTCCATATCTCTTAAGGTTACGCTTTGAGTACCAAGAGCCTTGCCTGCAAGGCAGCCAGCAATTCCTGCATTGGATTTCATTTCACCTTCATTCTTAGTTGTTTGACTATATGAAGACCATGCCCATTCCTCTAGAGGAAAATGGAGAATAGGGCTTAGCCATTTGTCCCAAAGGTGCTTTTTCAAGAGGCAACTGGACTTTGTTTTTTTAAAATGTTTCACTTCTTCAGCTTTGAGGTCCAGTTGCTGAAAGAGCACCTTTGAGACAATCATGACCTGGATGACTGAGAATCTCCATAGGCTTAGCATTTCTTCTGTTCACATGTTAACTATTAGACACTCCCAAGTGAGACTAACTTTCGCAATAAAAGTACCACCATTTACCTCTTATTATCCCCAGATTATCCTTCCCCAATCCAAATATTGCTACCGTAGTCAAATGGAAGAGAATGGAAGGATTTCCACAATGGAACAGATCATTTAATGATGCTTATAACATCTATTGGGAAGACTACCACCTCTTCGGTATAACTTCTGATTTAGAACGAAATCAGGTTAGCATGTAGTCTTAATTGTTTCTGAGCAGCAGTGCATTTCTAGTGCCTCCTAATTTCTGCTGCCTGAATTATTTTTTTTTCTTTTACTCTGGAGAACTTGGCCTTGGATACCTCTACCAGCATTCTGCTCCTGAGGCCTGATGGTGCTTTGATATGTTTCTCACATTGTTTTTGCATTTTGGGTTTTTAAATGCTGTATGTTAAAACGTGTGAATACATTTATCAGAGAAAAACTGTGCCATTGTTAACTCAGGGTTGCTGAACTGGAAAATTGAAAGAACTGCAAAAAAAAAAAAAGAGGCTAAAATTCACGGGTTGCTCTCCCTTGCTTAGAAATGAAAGTTTTCTTCCTGAGCTACCAAATAGTGCTGTACTGATTATGCACAGACTTACTCCTTAGTTACAAGCTAACCTGAAGATGCATTATTGGAATAGGTACATCTGCCATGCATTACAATTCAAATATAATCCAAGGAGCATCCTTTGTCTAACACAGGGGTAGTCAACCTTGGCTCTTTTATGACTCGTGGACTTCAACTCCCAGAATTCCTGAGCCAGCACAGCTGGCTCAGGAATTCTGGGAGTTGAAGTCCACGAGTCATAAAAGAGCCAAGGTTGACTACCCCTGGTCTAACATCTGCCTCCCCAAACATAAATCACTAAAATAGGAACAGTTTTCTTCTGCATGGGGGGAAAAACTGCCTAGAGCTGCACTTTTGCCTGCCATCAACACAGGCCTCTTTCTGTATCATAGCATTTCCAGCCAACCGCGGAATAAGAGATGACATATTAGATCACAGGAATATCTGGGATTGCTGAATGTGGAGGAAGCTAGGCAAGGATTTTGAAGATCTAGCAACATCTGGGTGATAGTAAAAAAAAAAGAGGGGAGTTGTGAACCACCAGTGGGGGCATGAACCACCGCAGGAAGAAATGTGATCAGGGACAACAACTGTGGTTGTCAACAGCGAGACAAAAAACAGTGAGACAGAAAAACCTGTACTAGTGTCTCTGTGTACAATTTTCAGCAGAGCCTACATATCCGTGGAGAATTTGGGCGTTTTGTCTCTTACCTTTTTTCTAAAAGTTGATACCCATCCAGCATTATTTACCTGCACTTGTAGATCCAATTCCTGCTGTTAGTACAGATCGTGGAGTAATCTTTGCTGCATATTTCAGAAATTGAGATTTACCAGTACCGGGGTCTCCAACCAGTAAAAGATGTGATTCACCTGGAGGTAGAGTAAAGATGCCCAAGTTTTCTACAGACCATATTTTAGAAGAAAATGGTATTGAAGAAATATAAAAAGCAGAAATTTAAGCTCATCTCTAATCAATAATTCGTAGGAAAAGCATGCAGGTTCATTTAAACGAGTCACCTTTTCTCCTTCATACTCAGATTGCTACATGGCCTTACTGATCACTAATACATGCATTTTTAATTTAATCATAATATGGGAAAAGGTAAACGTGAAACTGTGATCAAAAATGACAGAATTGTCCATCATTTTGATATTTTGCAAAAACATTTACTGACAATCATTTCTAAATGGAAAAGTACAAAAACAAGAAAAAGAGTTGACAAAAACCACTCTTATTTAGAACAGAATAGATTATCTTAATTTCCAAAAGGCGTTTCTGGGTATTCTACATTAATACAGAAATGATACCATTATTTCAAAGGCAGTTTTTAAATTTCAATGGTTAACCATAAGACTCAGACATATAAACAAAACCCTTTGAAGATCATGCCCACAATCAAGAGGCAGATAATGTACCTTCTTGTAAACATTAATTCAGGCATTCAACCTCAAAATAACAACTGGCTGAAAGTTTATCATAACCAATTTAAACACACTCTAGTTAGAGATTAAAAGGCTGTTCCTTGGAATACAGATGATTGAAATTGATTAATATTTTCTGTTTGAATATTATTTGAATATATTATTAACTTTAAACTAGTGATAAAAATGTATACTCTTACTCTTTAGCAGCTAAATATTCTAAAAGTTTTCAATCAAATGGGAAATAATATATTTACAATTCAAATCCCTATTCTAACCTCTTGTATTTTTTAAAGATATCTGCAATGCATATCACAAGGTCATCATTCTTTTGTCAATTTAAGAAGAGAAACTTATGTACTAAGACATCACAAAGAGGAGTTTTATTTTTTTTAAGAGCTAAAGATATTTTGAATTTCATTATAAATGAAATTCAGACTATGACATTAACTATACCTAAAATATTGTTCACATTAAACATACACTGTAGCATAACAATAACAATTTTTATGATATTTATGGCTATTAATTTCAAATTTAAAACTTTGCTTTGGGTAAAGTAAGGTGCAATATTAAATAAGAAATGCAAAAAAGGGCAAAAAAGGAAGGAAACATGCATTTTGTATATATATATATTCATTTTATAATAAAGCATATTTTAGTTCTAGAAATTGTAAAAGACATGTATGGTTCATCTTTTTAATGTTGATTCTGTCCATAAGCATTATTATGTTGAGTTGTCCTTTGTAGGCTTTGTAAAAACTATGAAATAGAATCCTTAACCTGTTTAGTTCTCCAAGAATGTACACAAAAAAGAAAAAAACTAATCTAATCTAAATTTAAAAATATTTCTCAGGTCAATGTCTAACAAGTAGAGAGATGAAGAAAAGAGTTCTATTACAGTGTGGGAATAAGAGGGAAGAGAATATTGTATACCAACCTCTAACCCGGGTGCCGGTACTATCTGTTCTCTGTACCCCTCCTGCAAGCACCATAGCTACAGCCAATTTCACAAGATATAATCCAAAAATCTGAGGACACAAGCTTGCTAAAATTTCATTCCTCCCTGCAAAGTATGAAAAGAATAATAGATTAATATACTTTGATCTTTTTCTCTGACATATGTACAATCCCACCTATGCTTCTATTTATTATGCTGTCCTTGGTTTAAACTGAAAAATAATCAGTAAAGTCTCTTTTGACTTGATTTTCAGTGATCTTGCCAACTTTTTGAATATCCATATAATTTTTAAGGCAGCAATGCCACTATTTCCTTCTACAACACTTTTTCATTTTTCTCAATCTAGACAATACTGTAAATCTGGGATGTCTCATTCAAGTACTAACCATGCCTAATTCATCTTAGCTTTTATATAGGTGGTTTAGAAATCACTGTGATGTTTTCTTAATTTTCATTTTGATTCAGTTATAGTAAAAATAAACTGCTAGATCCAATGCTTTTTATTGGATAATTTGACAGAGATTAACAGGGTGAAAATGTTTTTTCTTTAGGTTAAATGTATTCATTGATTTACTGAATCATTATTTCCAGATTTTAGAATGACAACGCCCATCATTCCTAATCACATCTTACCTTAACTGGGTCTAATGAACTTGGTCCTAGCGAGGTGGGCAGCATAAAAATTTAATAAATAAAATAACGAAAACTAGTTCAAAACATCTGGCAGACAACACATTGGGTAAAGCTTTGATATTCTAAAAGGGTAGAATCAAAGATTCTAAGAAAGATTCCACAGATTATTATTATTGGTCCTTAAGAGTTCTATTCCAGGTGCAAAATTCTTACATCAACAAAAGCTTCCTTCCTTCATTTAATTGGAAAAAGGCACATAATGGAATAGGTGTCTCCAGTGAAATGAACTGGAACTTCTACAACAGCTCTACATGCAACTTAGGAAGATATATGGAATTCTGGGTGGGAGAAATAGTATATAAAAATGTATTGATCATATACACAAATGCCAGCATCTGTCTTCTGTTTCTTTGATCATAACTATGAAAAAGCAATAAACCTATGTGCATTCTATCTGTGCTCAAGCTACCATATCAATTCCACAACAGCAGTACAGGGTATGGCATCTTCCCCCAGTCTAAGGAATTGCAAGACTACAATTTCCATCATTGCTGGCCAGTACGACTAATAAAGGGTTCAGTACGACTAATAAAGGGTTCAATGAAACTATAGCATACTAATAAAGGGTTCAATGAAACTATAGCATACTAAATTGGAGAAGGCTGCTGTTTGATGTCTATACATCAACCCAACCAGAGATAGCATGGTAAAATTTAAGACGCGATGCTTTAAGCTAGCTACCCACCATTCCTTTTGTTAAAAATAAAATAGCTATTTTATCCTTTTTCCTCAATTATTATCTATGAAACTCTCCATCCGATTTCACAGAGCAGAGAATACAATTTGATTATAAAGGATAAAATTGGTGCATTTCAAAAGCAAGCTGTCAATACCATTTTTTAATATTTTTTTTTGCAAACCTGCTAAAGGGTCATTCTTATGTCTTTCCCAAAAATCTTTAAATTCTTTGCGAACGTCCTCATCAATTGTGATGCCCATAATTTGCTCATTGTTGACCTGAATGTAATTGGCCTTCAAAACAATCTCTACATCACAGCGTGAATCCTGGTGAAAAGGCTTCCATCTTTGCATCACTACTCCATAAACTGTAATGTCATCACCTGAGACAAAAACAAATAAATACGAAGAATTGCCATAAAAATTTGGCACACATTAGTATAGAAGTCTTGAGTGTTTGTAATGTACATGTCATGTTGTTTCATTGGTATTATAATTATACTGATCTTACATGAAATACTATTGTCTTAAGTCAAAACATCAACTCATATAATTATTGGCATTCAGGAATATAAAGTTTTCATATGTCATGCTAAGCCCTGTGTTAATTTAGCACATTATTGTTTATTCTAACTGACTATAGTTTTCTGGACGATGTCCATCCCAGGATTCTAAAAGAATTCAAAAACCTTTTGACTAAAAATGCAGGAATCCTTCCACAAGGATTAGAAAAAAGGCCAGTGTAACTCAAATCTTTAAAAGGAGATGGAAAAGGAATTGAGGAAATTACAGAACAGTTACTCTGAAACCTGTTAGAATAAACTGAAGGAGAATCTTTTCTTGCATATACCTACCCATACCTTACTATCTTCTAATGAGTCTCTCCACACCAAAGAAGGTGAAGTAGATGTTTACAAGGCAGACAGCCTTTTCTGTGGTGGCACCATTTATGGAACACTTCCCAGAGAGTCTCAATGGGTCCCACATTAGCATACTACCATCAGTCTTTTAATCATATTTTAATTATTTATTAAGTCATAGGTTTAGAGTTTGATGACCATCTTGCCTAGGTTGTGTAATGACTTTATTTTGTATTTTATTTTATTGGTTATGCTTTAACTCAAATTATATTTTCTCTATTTGTGTGTGTGTGTGTGCTTATTGTAAATCCAGAGAGCTCTGGCTATTGAACTGTTTAAAAAATTAATTGCAGGAAAATGTTAACAAGAAAGTAAGCACACAGAAGAATCTACAGTCCCCCCCCCCACATTTGCATGCAATTAACATTTTGTTGGCATTTAAAGCTATATGAAAACATAGAAAATAAAGACCATTAAATGAGAACAATATTTTGAACACATGGGTCCAAATTCTATGGAAAGGTGTTAGCATAGAAGAGCGCGTATTGCAATGCCTCTGTTATTGAAGAATAGTCTTTTGAGACTTGGAAATTTTAAATGCCAATCATCATATGATTTGATATTGAACTGAAACAATGGCATGTTGTACAATCAATAAAATTATAACACCAACCAAACAACATGACATATACATTACTATTAAACAAGAACTCATTTAAAATGTTAATTTGAATTCTTCTTTAAGTATGAATGCCTAAAACGAAGGAATTTTCCAAAAGAATCTATCACAGAACTCACCAGATTTGCAACTGTCAACTAAATCATCTTCGAGGACCACCATCATAGAACGGGGAATATTTCCAACAGAAAGCCTTTGGACCTGGACAACATAAAATGTATTTATTTTATTGTAAGGTTAGCAAATACAAGTTTCAAGGACTACCACTAAATTTATGTAAAGAAGCTATGGTCAACTAGAAATAACCTATGAGAAATCAACCTATGAGTACTCAGACAAGCAAATGATTAGAAATCTGCTTTCATTTGATCTATATTTCCATTAGAGTCTATCTTATGTAAGTTTCTTCAGAAGCAGATTCTAATGTTAATCTGTAAGTGTAATAAAAATTGAATGATTGATTCAGAAGCAGATTGCCTTGCACTTTACACTCCAGTTAGAAGCTTTTTGAGAGAATAACCAGAATGGAACCTTTTCACCCTATATTCCCACAAATCTGCTCTAAAAGTCCCCCCCCCCCCAAAAAAGTATATTTATGGGATACAAGGATATAGCAGAAGGGGAACAAAAAGAGCCCTGGATGTGACTCTACACTTCCTATGAAACATTTTTTACATAATGCAAAAGGTAATAGTGACATAAAGAAAGGCTCTTACATTTCTACTACCATTTACCCAGCAAATCCCTCAAGATACCTATAGCCAACCAAATCTGTGAGAACATTTTATGTTTACAACCTGCTCTTGAATCTTGATCTCTTGATAGTCTTTGCATCTACTGGGAACACAGGATGTTCCAGAGAGACAAGTGAACTTTGAGGAGGTGCAGCCTTCTTTCCCAGGGCAGGTCGATGGGCGGCAGAAAGCATAGTATTGTTCAAAGTCAGCCTTGACCACGAAGATGTGCTTGCATTTGTTGCACATATAATCCCGCTCAAATTCCAGGACTTTCACTAGGCTGGTCCGAATAATAGTGCCAGTGATTGATAAGAAATGCCCTACATCTTTAGTCTTTGGGATGTGTTCTCTAGTTAGTTCTGGGCATACGGGTAAACCTGGTGAAACAACAAGCAAACAACAAAAAGAGATATTTTATTGGCAGTTTCCACTAACTCTTAATTTTGATTTAGCAACTTGGCATGATGAATTCTTGGTTCACACACTTCATTTAACTGTGGTTGGTCAAATATACTACCAGGGGACCGAATACTTTTTTTGGGATAGCATGCTAAGGCTTAAATAATAATTTAAAACTACAGAGGCTGGCTACACATAGCATGCTGAGCTAAAACCGAATTTGTATAATGTGTAAACTCAATGTCTAATCAGCAGTTGAAAAAATTTGCTGATCATTTTTAATGTGTTCCTTATTTAAGGATATATTTGTCAAAAATTACAGAAATATCACCTAGCAATGTTGTAGTTTTCCTACCCAAAACGTCAGCAACAATCATTAAAGAGACTCAGCAACAGAATGGAACTTGCTATCATAGGAAAACGATAGACACAATGTATATTTTTAATGGGTTAATTCATTTGAAATTACTTCATAAAACAGAATTTTTAAAGCAAAAAAATTCTTCTATCAGAACCACTGCTCCTTTTTAAAGACTACCTTATATCTCTATAGATTCAAATGGATTATACTCTTTATAAAATTAACAAGGGAGTTTTGTTTCCCCACTATTTTGCCTGTAACAGCCTTCCCCCACCCCCATTAACTGGCTTAAACTATGTGACCATTTTAAAGTACAAGTTAATCAAGACCAAAAGAGATACAATGTTTCAAAGAACTATCAGACTTTCTTGTCAGAAAAAAGCATCAAACAAACATTCAGGATGTAGAAGTAAAATATCAGCAGAGTGAATCTATCTTATCTTATCTTATCTTATCTTATCTTATCATCTTATCTATCTATCTATCTATCTATCTATCTATCTATCTATCTATCATCTATCTTGTTTAACAAATTGTAAGAGATATAAAGCTTGACTAGGAAAGTATTGACTGTTGTGAAAGGAAATTAAATATCTGAACTGAAACTGGAAAAAGAGCATACCATCAATGGTACTGTAGCGGTGTGTGTGTGTGTATAAATATACATATACATACATACATTACACACACACACACACACACACAGAAAATTACCATTGATGGAAGGAAAGGAAGACAAAATCTGTGTGCATCAGGATACAAATTCCACAAATCACCACAAACCTCTTGTGGAAGGAATATGAAAAAAGCCTCTAGATCAGGGGTCACCAGCCCCTGGTCCATGGACCAGTACTGTGTTGTGGCATGCCAACAACTGGGCTGCATATATAAGCAAAGCCCCATCCATGGGATGCAGGCAGCACACAAAACCAAACTCCCTCCGGTCCGCAGAATAACCTCTCTCCATGTAACCGGTCCCTGGTGCCCAAAAGACACCTGGAGACATCTGCTCTAGATCCCTATTTTCAGGGGATCATGGGAACTGGTCAGTAGTTGTGTTCCTGGATTTGAATTCTATAAGCCAGTCTTTTCCTACTTAAAATTGTTCCTATTATCCTCAGCTACCAATACTAATTGGCAATTATGAAAATTATTGTTCAAGTTTGGCAGGTGCAGGAAGACTATCTTAATCAAAAGCATAATCTTGTTATAAGAGAACTCTTACACTTGCTACATAATCCACAGAAACTTTTTACAAAGCTAACCAAGATTTGTATGTATCACAAGAAATACAATTTACCTGATATTCTGGCATGAAGATTCTGTTTAATGATGAATTCCTGAGCTTGGGAAGCTGACTGACATGTCGTAGCTGCTCTACGCAATGCATTATCAAAAATAGGAAGCACTTCATTAGGGAAGGCATTAAAATATTCACCAATTTCCATGTTGGTTTCAAAAAGTGTCAATGCATCAACAATGACTGGGTAATGGGCGTCATCATCTTTTTCCCTTAAAATCTGCAAGATGTCAGTGTGGTGATATGCCAGAATATATGATTCAAATACTTGTCCAATCAGGTTTATTTGCTCTGTAGTTAAAACCATCATGAATCCTATAATTGGAAGAGATACAAGACAATATTAAACTAACTTAATTAAATTGTATTTCTAGCACATTGCATAAAACTAACTTGCTTCATAATTATGTTTTAGCTCTTCTCTGAATCCTTGTTCTCTATTTTGCTTCCTTTCTTGAATTAAAAACTTTTTATTTTCTCCTGGCCAGCACATTTCAATGATAATATGTATGTATGTATGTACATACGTATGTAATCAATTTATATGGCTCACAAATTTGACTCAGAATAGCTAACAAATGGAAAAGCTGTACAAATATAATAATAATCAAAGATAAACATACTATAGCAGCTGAGGAATCGACTCATCTTGGGTTCAGTTGGCATATCAGTACTTTCAAACAATGTTTATTTGTGTGTGGAAGGAGCAATACCCAGGCAGAACTTCATCTATCTTCTCAGTAGAATGGTGTTCTTCTCTTTGAAAAAGGGTGCTTCCAGATGAATAGCTCCTGATGGTAGCCAATAAAAGGTCTTATAGTTTATCCTTCTTGCTGATTGGGGGAACTATGAATGAATTATTACTAATAATTACTAATAGCTGGATCTCCTGTAAAATTCTGTGAAGCAATGTGATTCTATAAGAGAAATCTAGTCCAGAAAAGCTTCAGTTTTGAAAGCTCTTTTTACATTTCTTTTCAAAGCATTGAACAGTTTCATAAGACACAATACAACAGAGCAGTAACTCCATAGAGTAGGAAGAAAACATTTCTTGTAATAGAAAAAATATCAAAAAATTGGAAACAGTTCTAATTTGCAAATAAATATATGTGAAACAGTGAACAGAAAAATTGCCTCTTACTCAAGAATTAGGCAAACACAGGAGAGCTCCAAATGCTGCTTTTGGTGTGAGATTTCAATCGTATCATCATGACAGGATTCCTGAGCATTCTTGTGAGCATTAAGTAGCTATAGAGCCATATTAATTATTGTACCGAACCTTCCACAATCATCTAGCCAACGGAGGCAGAAAAACAGATTGTTAGATTAACTGCAATTTCAGATCCAATTTTTGTTTATCTCTACCTCTGTTGTTTCCCTTTTCAATTATGGGATTACCAACTTTGTTTTATTTTTATTAAATGTACTCATCTTAGTGCTTTATAATTATCTATCAAACCAGCTTCTTATATTATGCATGCATATTAAAAATCAAATAAAGATTTTACAGGAGATCCAGCTATTAATAATAATTCATTCGTAGTTCCCCCAATTCTGTTATTTCTCTTATCAAAAAGAAAAATTCAGCAAAGATAAATATAAGACATTTTCTTGGTTACCATCAGGAGCTATTCATTTGGAAGCACCCTTTTTCAAAGAGAAGAACACCCTTCTTCTTCTTCTTCTTCTTCTTCTTCTTCTTCTTCTTTTCTTCTTCTTCTTCTTCTTCTTCTTCTTCTTTTACTGTGACCCTGAGAAGATAGACCAGCGGTTCTCAACCTATGGGTCGCGACCCCATTTGGGGTTGATCGACCATTTCACGGGGGTCACCAAGTAAGGCTGTCCGCCATTTTTTCCCCCTTTTCCGGCGGGTGCCTTACCTCCCTTGGGCTGGGCCAGCTGGTGGTCGGCCTGCTCCGTCTCTGCCGCTTGCCAGCTACGCCTCGGCCGGTGCAGGGGGCGGAACCACGCATGCGCGGCGCTCCCGGGCAGGGAAAGTCCTCGACTTACGATTGTTTTGGTAGTCCTCGACTTACGACCGGTTTAGTCCTCGACTTATGACCAGTTTAGTCCTCGACTTACGACCGGTTTAGTCCTCGACTTACGACCGGTTGGGGGTCGCGGCATTAAAAAGGTTGAGAACCACTGAGATAGACGAAGTTCTGCTCTGGTATGGATCCTTCCATACATATTTAAAATCAAATAAAAAAAATCAAATAAATTTTCCAGGAAATCCAGAAAAGGAGATCTACCAAACTGGCTAGCTAAAGGAATGAATGAATGAATGAATGAATGAATGAATGAATAAATAAATAAATAAATACATAAACCAACCAACCAATCAATCAATCTGTGATTAGTCCTGAATGCAGTAGGCGCAACTAAATAAATAAGAATTTAATCTAAACATTTCTAAAAGGTAAGGCAGCATCATGTCTCAAAGATTTTTTTGCTCCTCCCCAATAGTTCAATCTTCAGGTGAGTTTGGTCTGTGTGGGTGCGGGTGTGTGTGTGCGTCCTGCAGCTAAGGCTGCAATTAGCCCAAGTGAGGCGTCGTTCCGCTCCTATCTAGCCTTCTTCTGAGCTCAAAGCCGTCTCCCCCCCCCCCCCCAACATCCTTCCCCTCAGGACTTGGATTGTGGAACCCATTAGAGCAGTGTTTCTCAACCTTGACAATTTTAAGGCATGTGGACTTCAACTCCCAGAATTCCACAGCCAGCAAAGCTGGCTGTGGAATTCTGGGAGTTGAAGTCCACATGCCTTAAAATTGTCAAGGTTGAGAAACACTGCATTAGAGAACCAGTCAGGAGAAAGTCATGAGGGCGGGGCTGAAGGAGGGGCGGCCAAGCTCGGGGCGGCTCAATTAAGAGGCAGGCGAAGTCCGGCCCTCAAGTTTCACGCCCGGTGGGCTACCGCTAACCCCGGCGCGGCGAAGGAGAAATGCGGAGCCGCGCTGCAAAGAGGAGCAGCGTGAACTCGCCGGCGCGCGGCTCTTCCCTCTCACGCCACGCGACTTACCATCCGCATCGCGAAGCTTACAGCTGGCGGGGAAATAAAATTAAAAAAAAAAACCTCTCACCGGTCTGGCGGCAAAAAGGAGCGGCGGGAATCAGTCGGCAGGAGGAGGAGGAACAGGAGGCGGGGTCGGCGAAGATTGGCACTTCTCCTCCGGCTCCGCCGCTGCATGACAGGCGGGGAAAGGGCGGGCGACTTGCCTCGGACTGCTGCAGCGCCGTCGGTCGGTCTCGGCTGACCCTGGGCGCGAGGGGTGCGGGTGTGCGGCGATTGGTGGCCGGGCCTCGCTGAGTAAATTTAAGCCCTCCGAAGAAAAAGCGCCAGGCAGGCTTGACAGCTCTGCTCTCAAGTAGTAACTTCTTGGACTGGGTTATACTAAGCTGCTACTCCGTGGATAGGCGTGAGGTGGAGCAGGTGGGCTGCAGTCTTGAACTTTAAAGTTGGGAGAGCGGGAATCGAAGCCGATCGGCAATGGGAAGCCACCGGAATTTTGCCGGGGTGGGGGGGGGAAGCAGAACATTTTCTCTTGCAGACAGGAAACGAAAAAGCAGAAATAAATGGTGGCTGTTGTTTTTTTTTCCCCCGCGGCTGTTCCTTATCTATATTATTTCTGTGCAGTAAAATTTGGTGTAGGGGTTAAGGTAGCAAGCTAGCAACTGGGAGACCGTGAGTTCTCATCTTTCCTTTGAGTCGCTCATTTTCAGCACTAGGAAAAAAAGCAGGAAGGGGAAGCCACTCCTGAAATCTTGCCAAGGAAACTACTGGGGCTTGTTCATGCAGTTGCCATCAATCACTGTCTAGACCAGGGGTAGGCAACCTCGGCTCTTTTATGACTCATGGACTTCAACTCCCAGAATTCCTGAGTCAGCGTAGCTGACTCAGGAATTCTGGGAGTTGAAGTCCATGAGTCATAAAAGAGCCAAGGTTGCCTACCCCTGGTCTAGACACACCAAAAGTCTATAGCAGGGCTTTTCAACCTTTTCACCCATTGTACCACTTTTAGGATATGGCAACATCCGAGTATCACCAGTCGCCTAGCAAGGTGTCAAAAACTTGATGACCCCAAAAAAAAAAGAAAAGAAAAAGTGATAAAGTACAGGTAGTCCTTGACTTATCACGGTTCACTTAGTAACGGTTCGAAGTTACAATGGCACTGAAAAAGTATCCCCCAAGCCACAGCCAAGCAAGACACCTGCCTGCCCACCTGGCGGCACTCTTCCTGCTGTCTGAGGTTTTCATTGTTGTGAGCATTTCTGTTGAGGATTGGCAGCGGGGGTGGGGTGGGGTGGGTGTTTGGTTTTTATTCCCCCCGTCTGCTGGGTGGTTGCAGCAGGTTTTGGTCACTTCACATGACCCTGGGACACTGTGACCATCATAAATATGAATCAGTTGCCAAGCATCTGAATGTAAATCACAAGACCCGGGAGATGCTAGAACATTCCAGCTGATCGGCACTTCTTCTGGGCTCAGCAGAAGCGCCAGGATCAGTGCTGCTTTCCAGCTGATTGGCACTTCTGGGCTCAGCAGAAGTGCCAGGATCAGTGCCGAGCTCCAGCTGGAGCCTGGCACTGATCCTGGCGCTTCCGCTGAGCCCTAACAGCCCTGCAGCTCCAGCCATCTCTCGCTCAGGCTTGTGGGGTGCTGCCACCGGTTCAGCTCATTCCCCTCTCCCACCACCACTTTTCTAGGATGGTTGTGTACCACCTGGCAGGTGCCAATGTACCACAGGTGGTACCCGTACCACTGGTTGAAAAGCCCTGGTCTATAGAGTGAAGAGAGCTTTGCAGTCAGGTGTCAAATCGATTAAGGCACAAGGGGAAAAAATGTGATATGAAGCGGGATGTCGGGATCCCTCTGGAAGATTAAGACTTGAATCCTGCTTTGGAAGTATGAGCAATGAACCTCACGTCCCAGCATTTTACTTTTTTGTTATCAACTGCCTTTAGGGTTCCTACTGAGTTGGTAATCAGTTAATAAACATACATGTGGCCTTAGAGTTAGAATAGTGAACTTTGAATCTCTCTCGGATTTTACATTGCTGTATACTTTACTTGATTTAATTTATAAAATGAATTACTAGATTGTGCACACTTAAAAACTGCATATTTTTGAAAAGAGAGAGTTCAATGGAAAAATTAACTACAGGATGTAACCAACATTTCTTCGTGGGAATCATGCCACTAACAAGGATTTCTTCTTGGGAATCAAGTCAGTCAGACTAATAGGCTCATATGGAAGGGATTGGATGAATGCATGAACAAACTTGCATATCTTTTTGGCTCTTTTCTGTACCATTGAATGATGGTAGTGGTAAACTTCCAGATAGGTTTATTGCCCTATATAATTACCCTTCTCATAAAAACTTCCAGATGTACCCTACTTCTAATAGGTTTTTCCATTACAGTTGTATATCATTTAAAAGTCAACAATTACAAATGGAAAATGACATCTTCTGATCCCACTGGAAAATGTCAAGTATGGTGATTGTACGGTAAGAAATATCTAGAGGAAGCATTGGAATAGATCCAAGATATAGGAATAGGAACATTGAAGAACAATCTTTGCCAAATTTTGTAAATGAAGTAGGGTGCTTGAATAATAAAACATACAGCAGTACCATGCCTCCGATACCGTAAGACAAGATATGAGAAAAGAAGCAGATAAACCCATCAGTTTATGGTAGTGTGAGATTCCTTGTGAAAAAAAGTTTGCAAAATAAAAAGGAAATATGGGTAAAATAGATTTCTCAATGTCTACCAGTATTTAAATTTGTAGAAATGAAGCTAAGGGTACAGTAATGATACCTATGCTTCTTTCTCATAATAAACCATATGTATGTTTTTAAATATAGACATTGTTTTAGAAAGTGACATGTTGATGCCACATAATGTATGCTGCCTTGCAGGTGCTGTATGTGGCTTCAAAATACATTAAATTAAATTAAATTAAGCTGCTCTTATAAATTTAAACTTCTAGAATAACCAGAGGTGCTTCCAGGAATTAAAACAGTTCTGGAGACTAATACTTCATTTTGCAGCATGTCACCCATTTTTTTTTTAATTTAAAAAACTATAAAAGGTAGCATAAAACCTGTTGCACAGCAAGAACACTAGTATTCCAAGTTGCCATATTGGAGATTACAGTATTTACAGAACAACTTTTACATGTATAGATTGAACATTATAAGTTAATGAGAATAAATTGTATCGTTCAAGATTAATAGGAAATTATGAATTTTTGTGGCAAGTTGTTGAAAAAAAATGACTAGACTACAAGGATATTAGTTCATCTTTTTATTTATTTGCCATCTCATATTGAAATGACTGGGCTTTTTAAAGCTCACTTTCAGCATCCTACAAAATAGGACTTGTGAAATCTTGAAAAAGGTGCCTTGCACAGTGTGTTGGCATGGTGATGCACTCATCTTTGAGGTATTAAAGCAGCTGTACCCTTGGGGAAGCATGTGAAACTGTTTTGAAGGTTGTCTCCTGTTGCCTGAGCCATATACAGTCACTTTGGTGCTATCGCAGTTTAAGAGAAGTCTGTTCACATTCTGGAAACAGCTTTTGCAGTAGCTATGCAAACTTTCCAAAGGATGTGACTGTTTAATATATTGTGGAGAAGAGCTTTGCTTGTAGCAAGTTGCTTTGCAAAGCTGCTCTTTTGAATGCTTTCCATAATTTTGATATATAATATGAAAGTAAGTTTCTATGCACTAACAAACAGACTGGAGAATATTATTTTGAGGGTTAGTTTATTAATTTGAGGACTATTTAAAATTGGTATGTGGAAATGAGTTGAGTTTTGTGATAAAATAGTTTCTGTCCTGTAATAAGTTGCTGAGTCAGAGTAAAATATGCAAGTGAACATGTCTTCTCCCATATTCTCAGTATAGAAGACAAAAGGTTGATTTCATTATTTCACTAGAAAAAGTTAAAAAAAAAATGTGAACAAGAACACTAAAGTACTATTACAGTTTTGAAGTTTATCATTTTATGTATATCCCACCCCCAGATCCCCAGGACCTAAGATGATATATATGGTATCCTTCCTCCATTCCCCCCCCCCAACAACCATATGAGGTAAGTTGGGCACAGAGAAGGCAACTAGATAAAAGTCACCAAATGAGTTTCCATGGTTGTGGATCTACTTCAGTTTGGGGCTGCCTAATTCTAATTCAACATGTTAACTACAGCATTCTGGTGCCCTCCATCCAATGACAATGAGGGTGCTTACCGCCAGGAGGTTGAGGGTTTGGTGAACTGGTATAAGGAAAACAGCCTAGTTTTAAACATTGAAAAAGTCAAAGAGATCATTGTCGATTTCAGAAAAGGCAGGCACAGCCACACTCCTCTGTGCATTAATGATTCACCTGTGGAAATGGTTACCAGCATAAAATTCCTGGGTGTGCAGTTAACAAGTAGACTGGCTTGGTTGCTCAACAGCGAGACACTGGTGAAGCGGGCATGGCAGCGCCTGCATTTTCTGCATCACATGAGAAAAGCACATCTTCCTTCCCTGTTCTTACCACTTTCTACAGAGAGACGATTGAGAGCATCCTGTCATACAGCATCATAGTCTGGTTTGGAAGCATCACTGCTTCAGACAGGAAGGCGGTGCAGAGAGTGGTGAGGAGGCTGAAAAGATTATTGGCAGTTCCCTCCCTTCCATCCAGGACATAGCACATAAGCGTTGCTTGAGCAGGATCCGCAAGATTGTCTGGGACACTACACATCCTCTTCATGACCTGTTTTCCTTGTTACCTTCTGGGAGGAGGCTTCATGGTATCCGAAGCAGAACATCCAGATTCAGCCACAGTTTTGTTCCATACAGTATCAACCTTGTGAACTCTCAAGTTTCCTCCTTCTGTTATGTATTCAAGATGGACAGTGATTAATATTTATATGTTACTTATATGTAAGGGTGTAGGTCTATACATATGTTGTATATAGTATGTTTAAATGTGTGTTATGTATGAGAGCAAGCAACTAAATTTCATTTTTAATGTGTGCCATTGTACCCACAGTAAAAAAATGACAATAAAGGTCTGTCTATCTATCTATCTATCTATCTATCTATCTATCTATCTATCTATCTATCTATCTATCTATCTATCTATCTATCTATCTATCTATCTATCTATCTATCTATCTATCATGAAAAACAAATGATACAATTTTAAAGAAGAAAAACATAACACAATAGTATTTTGGATCATTATTGCAAAATTATCCAGTATATTTTATTATAAGGAACAGCCAAGAAATCCAACTTTAACTTAATATGGCTTTCTTCTAATGAAAAGGCTGTATATACCTTTACATAGACCATAGAATATCTGCCAAATACTGTTTTAGATTATCAGGAAAGCATTAGAACATTGCTTCCAGTGAAGCATTCAGGATGAGTTTACAGGAGATACAATTTGAAAAGTTTGATTAGGATATTTTATATGAAAACATACAAAGTTTTGTACATATGCTACATATAAAACTCATTATATTATTGGTGGTACCATTGGTTGATTATGCTGTTGCATAATGGGAAGACGCAGTCAGGCTTTAGCAGAAATAATGAAGAGCTATATTTTTGTATCTAAGAATAAAAACTGTTTTTAAAATAACCACACAATCTCCCTAACTCCCCTTTTATGCATACAAAGATCAGATCTTAAAAGTACATTCATAAAACAAAAGTTTCTCCCTGAGATTACCAGTGTTAGTTTTATTGTGGTAATCTTGGAAATAACAGCAATAGTATCAACAAAATATATAAAAACCAGATTTGCCAGTATATTACATCTTTTCTCTCAGAAAACCTGCACAATTATAAGACAGGTGTAATAGAGTGGAAAATCAGGCACATTCTCCAGTTGAAAAAGATTGCGTGGTCATGGCTTAATTTTGTAATGGAAGAGAAAAATGTTAACATTTATGCTGGAGCTCTAATGAAAGATTTGCATGCTTTATTATGCATAATTATTTTGTTTAGAACTATTTTTTATTAATGCCTGAGTTTTGTCCAAAGGATAATATCCTCAAATTGCAGCTTTCCATGAATTTCACTTTATTAATATAGCATTACCTAATGTAGTAACCCCAAATGTTAAATGTCTAAAGAGCATTGTTTCTGCATATATTTATAAAATATTTATGACAAAAGTTGATGAACTTCAACATTAAAATACTTGTTATTTTTCTTACTATAATCTTATTACCACCTAGCTTTATATATTATTATAATTTAGCAGTCTTCCCCACTTTTGGAATAAACCACAATTTTTAAAGTCAATTCTCTTAAGTTAATTAAAAATATATGGATTTAAACATATTTTGCCATTGCCTGATTTTTAAATTGTTAACATTTTAATATATAATAATCATGCAATTAATTGCATTTGAGAGAGAAATGGGATGTGAAAACCTTCCCTGAAACTAAAGAAAATACATATTTATAGGAAAAGTGGAAGAAAGATTGCATTTCTTCTATGAAATTTTATTATGCAATAATTACAAAGTTTAAATACTTTTCAATTTTAAATAAAAATAAGTGTCATTAAGCACATTTATATAACTATGTCAAGTGATTCCAACAAGTATCACATAAAATAGAGTGCATTTTCAAATCAGAGAGACAAATACGTTCTCATTCACAGTGTTTGACATATTACAAGGAAGCTTATTTCACATAAGGGTTTATTTTAAGGTCATGCTATTATGAACAGTACAGTCCACACCATGCTGTGCCATTCAAAATAATCTCTTAGAATGTGAAGTAACGAGCAAACCATTCCTGACGTTGTGGATCTGGTGAAGCCATTGGGGAAGCTTCAGTCTGAGGAGGGCTAGATTCATAAAAAGAAAAGACAAATTTAACCCACAACCAAGAGTCAAGGTGCAAAATGCCTGGAAAAAGCATACAAAAACAATACACAGCAGAGAATCAATTTTTATAATGTCAAAGTCACGTTAGTCTGTGAGGTAGTTTAATTCCCCATTTTCAACCTTCGGTCATCCACTCCATTGAAGAGCATCAGCAGCATAGACAAGTCACTAAGCCACACAACAGGGTAGAAAAATAGTGTTTTGGGAAAAAAAAATGGAGTTGCTGCTTTGGTTAAAAAAAAAAAAAAGCAAGGGAAAGTTTGTTTTTAAAGAGCATCCTCTTTTAGCATCCTTTTCTTCTGGTCAAGTTAGTTGTCAAATATGATGCAAGCATCATATTCTTTAGGACATGCTGAACTTTCTGGCACTGAACGATTACATACTTTAAATATTACACACCCAGAGTGATTTATTGAAATTGCATGCACATGGAATCAGATACAATACAAAGCAAACTCATTTTTGCTAACAAACAATTATCAAGTAAACCTGTATGATATAATCACTACATATACTTTATTGCTTTAGTAGAATTAAATTTTATAGCTAGAAGGTTAAAATAATCCCTACCGTTTATAGGACAAATCAGGGAACACAATAATTTGTAAGGAAACTCCATCATCACAATTCATGAATTCATGCACATGCTTGTTAATGGCGTCTGAGCATACATGCATTTTACATGCAAAGGGAAAATAAGGAAGATTACATTTTAAAGGATTATAGTGCAAACTTCCTATTCTATTTTCTGCCCCAGCTCTATTTTGTAAGTTGCATTAAAGCAGAACTACATCAGAATAAAGAAATATTTATTTTCCAGAATATCAAGCATTATATATTATTTCAGTTATATAATAAAACATATTCCAATTGTAATGCAAAGCGGAGCTTGATAATTTAATGCTGAAGCATAGCATTAAATGGTATGTAATACATGCACATACTATATTCACATACTCAAAGCTTGTTTTTGAAAAATATTTTTTCTGCGGTGAGGAAAATCAATACAAATCTAATATGGCAAATATTTTTTGTCAGAACCACTGTTACAAAATACCATTTTGATTTGGGGGAATTGTAACATATTCTTGAAGGGCAGGTAGAAATAAACATTTAAGACAATTGTTCATAAAGGTAAATAACTGAAAGCACACAATGCATTGGTAATAATATAACACTTTGAAATTTTAAGGGAAAAAGACTTATTGGGGGAATCACATTACAACAAGCTTTACAATAAAAAGGGATACTATAAAGAGGTTTAAAATATAGTGCAAAAATTATGATTCTAAAATAATACCCTTACTCCAGTATTCTTAAACCAAGTGGGGGTTCAACTAAAAAGAAATCATTTTTTTGTTTTCCAAGTTAGGAAAAAAAAAAGAAAATAAAAAACTGGTGAGGCTCTGCTCACCTCAAAACCATCTTGGGCTCTTTGGGTGGTATTGGCTGTGGAAGTGGTCTGCTGCTGTTGAACTCAATATCGTGGATGGATGAATTAGGAATAGGGTCCAGGCGGTTAGCATGTCCATTGCCCACTCCACTAGATTCCAAAGCACTTAGATTGGGGACACTCACAAACCTGTTTGCTGATCTATCATTCTTCTTCTTTTGCTGCATTAAAAATAACACATGTAGGGAAGGGAGTGTACAAATCACGAAATTACTGAGATGTTTTAAATTATTATTCTTTATTAATGGTTTGGGGATTGCTGCAATACGATGCTTGACTTTTCAATAATTTTAGTAGATTTAGCTTATGTAGCTTCCATTCCCAAAGGACAGTGGAAACTGCTTTTTTTAAAAAACTAACACTGTGTTGTTGTAATTCTGAATCTCCCAACCAAAAAAATGGAAAGTTTTAATTGCAGAAGAAAAACTGATTTTACTTTCTATCATATTTGCAGCCATTTCCTTCTATAATCGTGGTTCATGATTGCCATAAAAATCAATTAAATCCTGCTTCAAAATATTTTAATAGGAAGTGACAAAGTTTGTATTCCATTTGTATTTATTTTATTTTTCTGGCTTTGCTAAGGAGAGAATATAGCAGATGTTGCCATTTTGGTACCAAATTCTTATATTCTGCCAGCTGAGTAAAAATAGATAAGAGTTGAATAAAATGCTTCCAATAGCCCCCCAGTGCCCCACTAAGTGAACTATTCAACAAGATACTTCTTCAAAAATTAAAAAACTTTTGATTGGATTAAGGATTTTAATACCACAACCTTCAGATTTTCACAGAAAAATCTCCCTATTTTCAAAATCATTCAAGTATATC